GGGCCCAGGCTGGAGGGGACGGTGGCTGGATGGGAGGGATGCAGTTGAGTTGCAGGAGGGTTTTGAGGCTTGCTAATGGCTCAGACTGAAAAGTTGTGGAAAGGTTGTGGGACTAGGCTTGGGTGTTGAGGCCACAGTGCTGTCCACCCATGACCCCCGAGCCTTGATGGGGTCCTGCCATGTAGAGAAGTGTGCAGGCTGGGAGTGTTGGCTGGGTGTGTTTTGCACTCAGGCCTTGGGGCATGGGTGGCTGGTGTCCAGTCCCATTTACTCCTGGGCAGCAACAGATCCTGGAGGGCATGGTATGGTCATGACCACAGTGACACTCACTGGCCTTGGCCTGCCCCACAGGCTTTACCATCATCATCGAGCCCTTTGACGACAGAACCCCAACCATCGCCAACCCCATCCTGCACTTCAGGTGGGACCATGCCCCGACGTGGGTGGGAAGGACCTTGGGCTGGGCCCAGCCTGTGGCCCGACTCTCACTGCCTGTGTTGCTGCTCACAGCTGCATGGATGCCTCCCTGGCCATCAAACCCGTGTTTGAGCGTTTCCAGTCTGTCATCATCACCTCTGGGGTGAGGACCCTTCCCCAGTCCCTCCATGGGGTCCTAGTCCTAGCCGAGCCCTGCTGAGGTTTTTCCTGCTGTCCCTTCCAGACACTGTCCCCGCTGGACATCTACCCCAAGATCCTGGACTTCCACCCTGTCACCATGGCAACCTTCACCATGACGCTGGCCAGGGTCTGCCTCTGCCCCATGGTGAGTGGGAGAGGCTTGGGCGAGGCAGCCTTCCTCTGCTGCTCAGGATTGGCCAAGTCAGCTGAGCACTGGGTCTGAACTCAGACTAGGCAGGCTCCTCTCCCTGTGGCAGGGCTCCCTGAGTCTCCGTTTGCTCACTTGTGTGGGGGATTGCCTGTTCCTCCTTCCTGAGTGGAGACAGGACTTAGAGACACAGGTGTAAGGTGCCACGGAGCTCCGGGCTGCCACAGGTGGGTGCCAAGGCAGTTTTGCAACCGGGTGGCTCCGCCCACTTCCAAGTCCAGCTGGTCCTCTGCCTCAGTCCTCCCTCTGAAGCTGGGGACCAGATGTGTCTTGGAATTCAGAACTTTCCAGGCCTCAGGAAGAGGCAGGTGCTGAGTGGTGTGTGACTCCCAGACTGGGCAGCGCCCTTTGGCCAGGTCCTCCTGTTTCAGCAGCAGCAGGCTTCGTTCAGAGTCACCACAGAGATGAGGCCTCTGAGCAGATGCAGGGCAGGGCAAGACAGGTCTTGCTAATAAATGAGGAATTTGCATCAGACTTTTTAAAAAAAGGGTTTTCAGCATTTTTTGGTTTTTGGAATTGTCCTTCAGGGGTTGTAGACTGGGACTGCCCACCCACTGCTTGGTGGTTTTGTGGGGTGTGCACTGGTGGGTGGTGTGTTCTGGAACCAGCTGGCTTGAGGCTGGGGCTGGCTGGAGCAGGGACTGCTGTTCAGGAGCACTGACACTTCTGTTCCTTCTCAGCAGTTTACGTGCTGTGTGATCTTGGGCAGGTGACTGGCCTCTGAGCCCAGGCCGTTTTTCCATGCGATGGAAATAACGGAGCTAACGCTGTTGTCCATAAAAAGCTGTGACTTCAGAAGCAGGCGGTCGCACCACACGTGGAGCAGCGGCCACTGCTTCGCTCATTCCGCCTCCTGCTCACTGCAGATCATTGGGCGCGGTAACGACCAGGTGGCCATCAGCTCCAAATTCGAGACACGGGAAGACATCGGTAAGCTGCCCGTGGGGTTCTTTGTGGGTTCCAAGCAGGGCCATATGTCAGGTGGCAAGGTCACGCTACCGTAGCAGTTCCTCAAATCTTCGAGGCTTACACAGGGACTGCTTGCCCTGGAGCATGTCTGTTAGGGGTCAGAGCTTGGGAGCTCACCTCTGGGTAGTCACTGAGGTGACAGGACAGGAGGGAGCCTGTGACCATGGGGTTTGGGACTGCCTCCTAAGGGTCACCCCAAGTGACATGCCACTTTGCACTCACTTTCTTGCTGTGGCAAGGCACAAGGCCAGGCCTAACTTTGGGGGTTGGGAGACTGGCCCTACAGAAGCTCAGTGGGGCTTCTGGGAACCCCCAGTTGAAGATGGAGTGGGAGGCGGCCCTGGGCCAGGGGAGGTCTGACTTCTGACTCCACAGCGGTGATCCGAAATTACGGCAACCTCCTGCTGGAGATGTCTGCCGTGGTTCCTGACGGCATCGTGGCCTTCTTCACCAGCTACCAGTACATGGAGAGCACCGTGGCCTCCTGGTACGAGCAGGTATGTGCCCCGCAGGTCCTCGTCTCCTCCTGCCACTCCTGTGTGCCAGCTTACTCCTTTCCCGTGGTGGCGTGGGGCAGTGTGTGGAGCAAATGGCATCCACCCGTGCCCTGCTGGGACCTATGCAGCCCACCTCAGAGGCCCCGCTCTTTTGGAGGTCACCCACGCTGAATCCCTCAGGACCTATAGCAGTGGCGTGGAGACCCGGGAGAGTAGGCGTGGCTTCAGCTGGGTGCTGTGCTGCTGTTAGGTGAAGGCTCTGGACTGGACTTGGACAGAGCCTCTGGGGTTCTCTGCAGCAGCTGCTCTGGGATGAATGAGGTCATGGGACAGTCCAGAAGCAGGGCTCACCACAGCCAGGTGCTGGGTGATGGACAGGGTGGGGGCGTGCTAGACCTCCTGTCTGAACCGCTGGCCTAGCTCTCGGGGCTGGGTTAGAGTGGGCCCCTCACGGGTGCACTGAGAGAATTGGGCCAGTGCTGGCGGCAGGGGATGGCTTGCCCTTGCACCCTTGTGTCTTATTTAAGAAACCTCTGCCTGCCCCAGGGTCAGGAAAGTAGTCTCCTGTGCTTCCGTATGGGAGTCCTGAGATTTTACATCATGTCTGTGTCTGTGATGCACCCCACATTCCCCTTACGCATGGTTTAAGGGGAGTCCACTTGCTAACATACCATTTATGGGAAAGAGCTCGCTCTGAGCTGTATGGTGACCATGGGGGCAGGTTGTGTTTCTGTACCCTCTGTCTGTCCATGCTCCATCCCCCCACCCCAGTGTCTGTTCTTACGTCTATCACAGTGCCAGATGTGGACTCTCAGGGCAGCTCTGATTGTCCCTGCCTGGCTTACACTCAGCCCCTCTGCTAATCGGTGGCTAGGAGGTGTATCCTCATTGGCCACCCTGGTGATTGGCTTCCCACTTTGTTCTCCTAAATAAGGCTGAACAGCTCTGTCCCTTCCCCAAGTCCGGTGGGTGAGTTGAGGGTGAGGAGGGCTGGGTCCTGCACAGGAGACTGCATCAGGCCTGGGTTTAAGCAGGGTGGTTAGGCCCTGAGTCTCTCCTGACCCCCCTCATGTCCTCCCCAGGGAATCCTAGAAAACATCCAGAGGAACAAGTTGCTGTTCATTGAGACTCAGGATGGGGCCGAGACCAGTGTGGCCCTGGAGAAGTACCAGGAGGTGGGTGCCATGCGCAGGCTGGGAGGTGCAGAGATGCCAGGGCCAGGGCTGGGGAGGCAGCTCAGGAGTGATGCTCCACCCCTCGGTCTCTCCTCCCCAGGCCTGTGAAAATGGTCGAGGGGCCATCCTGCTCTCTGTAGCCCGGGGCAAAGTATCTGAGGGGATCGACTTCGGTGAGTGACCTGGCTCTCCCTCCCTAGGACCCCCTCCATGCCTTGTCTGGACCCTTGGGATCACCTCTCGCTGCCTGGGCTGCAGAGGGCCCTGCCCTGTCCTCCACTCCCCTGTGGTCCCCAGCATAGCCCTGGCATGCTTGTAACCCCCTTTTCCCCCACTGCCCCCAGTGCACCACTATGGGCGGGCCGTCATCATGTTTGGTGTCCCCTATGTCTACACACAGAGCCGCATTCTCAAGGTGAGCCGCAGGCCGAGACACAATGGTGCAGGGACGTGAGGGTCTCCCTTGGGCCTTCCTGGGTGCTGGGGAAGAGGCTGGATGGCCTCTGGGAAAGACCTCCATCCCCTTGCCTGCAGGCACGGCTGGAGTACCTGCGGGACCAGTTCCAGATCCGAGAGAATGACTTCCTCACCTTTGATGCCATGCGTCACGCAGCCCAGTGTGTGGGCCGGGCCATCAGGGGCAAGACAGACTACGGCCTCATGGTCTTCGCTGATAAGGTGTGGCGTCTCCCCTTCTCTTCGCAGGGGTGGCAGGCGGTCCAGGTTTCCCTGACCAGGGCCTCATGCCCTCTCTCCCTACCCTCCTGCTTGAAGCGGTTTGCCCGGGCAGACAAGCGAGGGAAGCTGCCCCGCTGGATCCAGGAGCACCTCACAGATGCCAACCTCAACCTGACTGTGGACGAGGGGGTCCAGGTCGCCAAGTACTTCCTGCGGCAGATGGCGCAGCCTTTTCACCGGGTGAGCTCATGGGGCCTTGTGCTCTCTCAGGCCTGGCCTGCCTGGGAGCTGGGGGAGACGACGGGCCACGCAGATGCGTAGGCCTGCTGTAGCTGGGCCACTGCTCAGCAGCCCAGGGGAAGCAGGGCAAAAGGATGTGGGGGCGGGGTGCCTCAGGAACACACCCTCTAGCCCAGACTCTGCCCTTGACCGCCACCTCCCTGGCCTGCTTTTGCTTACAAGGTGGGCACACTGCATTGTATGGCCATTTCCAAATGCAAACGTCCTATCCCTAGTGGCCTTTGAGTCTTAGCCAGTGCCACCTCCCTGTCCCCTGCAGGAGGACCAGCTGGGGCTGTCCCTGCTGAGCTTGGAGCAGCTGGAGTCAGAGGAGACTTTGCGGAGGATAGAGCAGATTGCTCAGCAGCTGTGAGCAGCAGCCATGAACCGTGAGGGGACACCAAGTCTTGTGCCTTGGGTCCCTGCGGCTCGAGGCTTCAGATGGACACTTGTTGCCAATCTATAGCCTTTAATCAGAGTGGGGCAGCGGGAAGTCCGATCCACTAGTGCCCCCCCAGCAGGGAGGTGGGAGACCACCGCCCATCTCCCCAACTTCCTGAGACGCTGTGGCCGCCGGGTCCAGTCTGCCTCACTGGGGGCTCAGGTCCTGGGTGCTGGTGCTGAGGGTCCGAGGGGCCTTGCTCAGGTGCCATTTAGGGAGCTGGGGATGGCACAGGGGCGTCTGCACCTCTGCTCCAGTTGCCCACAGCTTGTCCCTCTCTCTGAGTCCCCGTCCCCCCCCCAATCCTTGAGCCACATGTCCCTCACCTGAGTCCCAGCAGCAGCTCTGGCGCCGTCTGTGTTCAGCATGCTGAGTGACATGGCTCTCTTCATCCTGCAAAGGGGGCCAGAGCAGACACAAGTGAAGCCACAGATGCCCAGTTCCCACTCTAGGAAGGACTCCCTGGCTCAGGGTTTGGCTTGTGTCACAGGGAAGGTGGGGGAGGTCCAGTGCTCACCCCGCTGCCCCTGCCACGCCCTCGCCCCGGAGACGGGAGACCAGCTTCTCGCTTCCTCGCTTGATGGACTCTCGGAGCTTGGAGAACGAGCTGCTCCGACGAAGGACCTGGGGAAGCCAGGGATGTGAGGGGGTCCCTCTATCCAGGCCTGGCCAGTCCCCGTCACAGGAGCCGAGCCCATCCTCCTCACCTGCTGCTCTGTGTCACCAGCTGTGCCTGCACTGGGGACTCCTGGAGGAACAGAGGGGGGACGTGGAAGAAGGGACACAAAGAAGCCCCAAGGGAGGGGGGATGGCGCTCACCAAGAGGGGCGGGCAGGTCCTCTCCACTCAGGATCTCCTTGTACAGTGCCTCGGCCTCCTCATACTTGTTCTGCTTCAGGTAGGCGGATGCCTGTGGGACAAAACAGTAGGGCTTCTCAGAATCCCCTGGCTGGACCACCAGACTAGGTGGCTGGCCATTGGAGGGCAGTGACTTCCTGTCTGTCAGTCTGCTGCTCCACCTCAACCTGTGACATAACCACTGTGCCTGTCTTCATGTGCGCAGTCACGGGTTCCTCCCTCATGGGGTGAAGTGCTGGGAAGGGGGCCACCTGCTTTGAACCCAATAAAGACCTGGTGCTGGCTCTGACCAGCCTGGCCCTCCAGCTTCCTCTGCTGCCTTGTGCCCTTGGTGTTTCCCGGTGCCTCTGTTCTCATTGCTGAGGGGTCCCTCGCCAGTCCCCACCACACACTGCCGTCACACCTGCCGGGTGCCTCACCAGGTTGTTTTTGGTCTTGGCCACGTTGGGGTCATGGGGCCCACCCAGGGCCTCGTAGATGCTCAGGGCCCGGGCGTAGTGCCGCTCCACATCCTCAAACTTGCCCTGGTTCTGGCACAACAGGGCCAGGTTGTTGAGCTGCTTGGCCACATCCGGGTGGTCAGCGCCTAGGACCTGGGGGTCATTCATTCAGGGTTGGGCCACGTGATATCGCAGTCATAATGGGGTCACAAGCTAGGGATGTGAGAATCAAAAGTAGGGGGTGCTGGAGGGAGCAGACAGGTGCTGCACCCATGGACTGGGGACTAGTGAGGTCGGAGGTAATGGTGGCCCAGAACCCGTGGGGTGCAGGGCTGTACTGGTGGTCATTTCGGGTTGGGTGGGGAAAAGTGAACTGGGTAGAGGCCAGTGTCCAGAGTCAAGGTCAAACCCACAGCACCCAGAAGGCTATGGGGGCGCATGGTCACATGCAAGGGGCGTCAGAGGTCACAGGAACAAATGGCCACATGAGGGCCAGGTAGGGGAACCTTCTCTCGGATCTCCAGGGCGCGCTGGCACAGGGGCTCTGCCTCCCGGTAACGCCCGCGCTTCCCGTACAGGACGGCCAGGTTGTTGAGGGTGGCGGCCACCTGTGTGTGGGGGGTGGCACAGGTGAGCGGCGGCAGGTGCAGCCCCACAGACCCTCCTTCCCTGGGCCCCCACTCACTGCAGGGTGCTCTGGGCCCAGCGTCTGCTCCCGGATCTGTAGGGCGTCATGGAGGAGGTCTGTGGCCTCCTTGTACTTGTTCTGGTCCCTGGGGGGTGGCCACAGGGGTGCAGGAAGTTGGCCAACCCGGGGCCACAGGCTGAGCTAGGCCGGACGTGGGCATGACCAGGTCTCTGGCACTGGATGCCCACACTGCCAGATCCCTGGTCACCCCATGTCCCTTGCCCACTTGGACCTCCAGTGCCCATGCTGACTCCTTTCTTTGTTTATGTCTCAGCCCCCTGGAGAGGTCTCTGAACCTCTGTCCATCCCGCTCTTCCAGTCCTCTCCCATTCTGACCCCTGCCCACTGCTACCCAGGTGTTTCCTCCTGGCCGAGGGGTCACCAGGTCTTCCCACTGCACCCATCGGGTTCCCCACCCTTCCGCGGCTCACCGGTACACCAGTGCCAGTATGTTGAGCATGGTGGCCACATCGGGGTGACAGTGCCCTGAACTCCGCTCCAGGTCCTCCAAGGCCTGGCGACACAGAGGCACAGCAACCTCGTAGCGGCCCTGGCCTGCGTACTGGATCACGAGGTTGTGCAGGGTCCGAAGGCGGGCGGGAATCTCATAGCCACCCTGCTGAGCCGCTGCTGTCCCTGCCGCCTCAGGATCTGAGGGAGGTGGCACCAGGTCACTGTGTGTGCCCGGAGATGTGCACCCCCAGCCGCCTCGATGCACAATGGGCCCACGTGACTTCTGACTGGGGTCACAGGCATCTTAACGGGCTGGCAGGATGTGCCCTGCCCCGGGGACTGGAACACCCGCCCCATAGCCGCCTGCTTCACCCTCCTGTCCTGACCTCCCACCCCATGCCGCAAACCTCGGGGTGCAGCAGGTCTTCGCTCCCCCAGCTTCAGCCTGTTACCCAGTGTGACTGAGCCCCCACACACACCTTTCCTCTCTTCCTCCTCGCTGGGGAACAGGGAGGCCAGGCTGTCTCGGCGAGGGGGGGACTCCGGTCGCTGCAGGAGGATAGGACACTGGGGAGTCATGAGGCCTGGCGCTGGTCTCAGGCCGGGTCCTGGGTCACTCGGGGCTTTGGTTTTTTTTCTTGAGACAGGGTCTCACTATGCAGTCCAGGTTGGTCTGGAACTTACCATTCTCCTGCCTCAATGTCCAGCCCTCATCAGGGAACATTCTAGTCTACATTTGTCCTCAAAACTCAGGGTTTGTGCTGGGCGCAGGTGGCTCACATCTGTAACCCTAGCTACCCAGCAGACAGAGATCAAGAGGATCGAGGTTCAAAGCCAGCATGGGCAAATAGTTTTCGAGACCCTATCAAAAAACCCATCACAAAAAAAACCCATCACAAAAAAGGGCTGGTGGAGTGGCTCAAGTGAAGGCCCTAAATTCAAACTCCAGTACCACAAAAAAGCCAAAAACCAAAAAGTAAAAAACCCAGAGTTCTGCCCTGAGGTCAACACCAAAATCCCATTATGTGTAATTAACCTAGAAGACCAGCAGCTGGCTAGTGACCCCCCAACACACACACGCACACTCTCAGCTCAGCTGGCTGGCCTTCCTCACCACTAGGTTCTGAGTGTTGGGATTACAGGTGGTACCACCATGCCCAGCTCTACCTCAGTGTACAAAGGAGTTCACTAATTTTAGGGTTTCTTGGGGCTCTAGGAAGGATCTGGGGGCTTTGTAGTGCAGGACAAGGGGCTCCTTTGGAAGTTTCTGGTGGGTCTGGGAACTTGGGGGCTGTGCAGATGGTTGGGGGGCTGTGGGGTCCTAAGGAGGGCCTGGGGAACTTCAGGAGCCCTGGGGCCCCAGGTACCTGGCTATCCTCAGGCGGGTCATACTGACGCAGCTGGCCCAGGAACTGGAGGTGGCTCTTCTCCTCCTCCAGCTGGGCCACGGCCTCCTCGCTGGCCCGCAGCCGCCGCTGGGTCTCCTCAAGCTCCTCCCGCAGCCACACGTTCTCCTGCGCCAGCCTCCGGGCCTGTGCACGCAGCCGCTGCTTCTCAGCCTCCAGCACGCCCATGTGCGCCGACAGGGCCAGCAGCACCTGCCGGACAGCCCCCAACCCAGCCTGGACTTCAGAGCAGCCCACTCACCCTCATTCTATCTGGGATCCCCCAGATTCTGCTGACACCCCGCTAGTGTGGCTCCAGGGATGCTTAGAGTCTCCCAGAGACCAAAACTACACTCAGGGATGCTTCGCATTCCATCTGTGTGACCCCGAGTTCTCGCCAGGTCCCTCAGTTGCACTGAAAAACCCAATCTGGTTCAAGGATGCACCCCAGTGCTGCCTAGGGACCCCACCTCTGCCCTGAAGTTTCCTCACTCCACACCTGGGTCTCCTAAAGCCTCTCCCCAGCCCCAAACAACCCCCCATGTACCTGTCCCCCACATCCCTGGGCCTGCCCCCCAAGGCACGAGCCCCCTGAGGTTCCCCATACCTGGGCCTCACCCAGCCCCAGCTCGATGGCCTCCAGAGAGTGGTTCACCACCTGCTGCTTTTCTTCCAGCAACTCCACGCTGGCCGCGGGGCCCTGTCCAGCCAGGGTCTCCGCCAGGTGCCCGGCCAGGCTGTGGTGCTCAGCTCGCAGGGCCTCCAGCCCCTGCACCACCTGTCGCGTCTGCCGCACCAGCTCCTCGGGGTTCAGACGCTCTGGGCCCAGCCCCATGCTTCCTGGGGATGCCACCTGAACCGACATGGTTGCTCCTGGGGAAGGGCGGGGATAAAGGAGTCATTGTCAAGGCTATGCAAATGTGGCCTCAGCCTCCATGCTGTCCTGGCTAGCTGGACCTCCAACCTCTCCCCATCCCAGCCAGTCCTGCCTCTACCCCTGTCCAAGCCAGCCCTCACTGGAACATTCTAGTCTACCTTTGTCTGTTCTTTGAACCCAGGGCTCTGCCCTGAGGTCAATGCTAAAATCCTACTGTGTGTAACTAACCTAAAGGACCAACAGCTGGCTAGTGCCCCCACCACACTCAGTTCCCCAGGCTGGCCCTCACCACCCCAAGGTCCCTGGCCAGCCTGGCCCAGATCTCCCAGGCAGCCTTGCGCCCTGGGACCAGAGGTGCCTCCGCTGCTGGGTGTGGGGGGCGGGGCATGAGGAGGCGGCAGGATCCAGTGAGCTCATCTAGGGTGTTGTTGTTGGGAACCAGTCAGGCCACTGGGGGGGTGGGGGGAGGTGGCAGGAGGAGAGGGCCAGGGGCTGGGCACCAGAAGCAGAGCTGCTTCTAGGGTGGGGAGATGAGGAGGGGGCCCATGTGACAGCTCCTGGCTTTGACAGACCCTGAGGGAACAGGGACTCCACCCTTCACCACAGACAGGCTCAGCCAGCCCAGGCCCTGTTGGGACACACATGTGACAGGTGTGGTCCATGGATGTCACTGGCCATGTGACACTTGAGGGTCTGGAGCCTCACAATGGGTGGGGGGCCTGCAGGTGGGAATTTGTGTGGTTATATGTGGGTGACCAGGTCAGTCCTTTAGCTGCTTGTGACTCTGGGGTCCCCATTCCTTAGAAACACACCTGAGCGTGCACACACACACACACACACACACCCATTCCCTTTTTAAAAATACACATCAACATACACGCACACTCCCTTCTTTCCAGAAATATGACACAGCTTCTCTCAACACACGCACACACACATTCCCTCATTAGAAATACATCACACCTACCGGGCCAGGTGGCTCACGCCTGTAATCTTTAGCTACTTGGGAGGCTGAGATTGGAGGACTGAGGTTTGAGGCCACCCCGGGCAAATAGTTATCAAGACCCCCATCTCCAAAATAATCAGAGCAAAATGGAATGAGAGTGTGGCTCAAGTGGTAGAGCACCTGTCTGGCAAGCTCAAGACCCTGAGTTCAAACCCCAGTACTGCCAAAGGGGAAAAAAAAAAAAAAAAAGGAAAGAAAGAAAACCAAGACTGGGCACCAGTACCTCACACCTGTAATCCTAGCTACTCAGGAGGCAGAGACCAACATTGAGGTTCAAAGCCAGCTTGGGCAAATAGTTTGTTAGACCCTATATTGAAAATACCCATCACAAAAAAGGGCGGGTGGAGTGGGTCAAGGTGTAGGACCTGAGTTCAAATTCCAGTACTGCACAAAAAAAAAAAGGAAAGAAAAGTAAAAAGAAAAGTCAACACATGCAGAACTGTCTCGGCCCCCATCCCTCCCACCTGGAATAATACAACAGAATCCCAGGCTACTCACACACTTTCCTCCCACTCACTTGCATTCCCCAAGCAATTAACTCCCCATTACTTGCTGGACACTGCCCCAAACATACACTCCCCAGATTTGCTGTGGTCCCTCCATCTTCCCACTTCCTCTAACCCCCTCCACGGCCACACTGGGGCTCACAGAGCCACACACCATGCACACGGATACACAAAGCTGTTACTGGGCCTGAACTTGTACTCCCCTGTGCTGTTAGCAGCAGAACAGCTGTGGACACTGGGAGGGTACCCCATTTCTGCACATCCTGTCCGCGCCCTCACTCAGCCCTGGTGCTCACCACCACAAGCAGCCCCATGCCATGCCACCTGCACCTGCTGTCATATGCACTGTCCTCTACACACCACACGCCGATGGCCACCACTTGCTCTCTGTGCATGAAGCTGTATGTGTGTCTGTGTGTCCAGACGTTCACCTTATGGCGGGAATAGGTCCCGATGAACTTTTTCTTTTTGTTTTTTGAAACGGGGTTTCACTGTGTAGCCCAGGCTGCTCTTGAATTCTCTCCTCCTGCCTCAGCCTCCCCAGTGCTGAGATTACAGGCGTGTCGCATTAGGCTCAGCCTGATATGCCCATTGCAAGATGAAAATATCTCAATTGAAAACACATAGTTTTGGTTGTTTTTCGTCATGATCATAGGCCAGAAGCTTCAGAGAGGACCAGACTGCAGACCCCTAGCCTGGGAAAGATCAAAAGTCCAGGCTGGGTCACAGCTCAAGAGGTGGAGCGCTTGCCTAGCATGCACGAGGTCCTGGGATCAATCTCCACTACCACAAAAAAAAAAAAAAAAAAGAAGAAGAAGAAACAGTGAAGGCATAAAAAAGTCAAAATTCCAAATGTGAAGACCAATTCCTACTGAATGTGTGCCATTTTTATGACATCACAAAGTGAGAAATTGTCAGTCATGAGTTGGGTACCACCTGTATATGAATCAATTTCTCTTCCTACAGGGTGTGTCTTTAAAACACACCAGACTTAGTTCCACATAAAAGGCTAAACACGCCACCATACAGATCTATCAAGAGCCATCCTGGTATGCTGGGTGCTGGTGGCTCATGCCTGTAATCCCAGTTACTCCTGAGGCAGAGAGCAGGAGGATCGCGGTTTGAACCTAGCCCCAGGCAAATAGTTTGAGACACCCAATCTCAAAAAATATCCAACACAAAAAAGAGCTGGCGGAGTGGCTCAAGTGGCAGAGGCCTGAGTTCAAACCCCAGTACCGCAAAAAAAAAAAAAACCAGAGAGCCATCCTTGTGACTACAACCATTACTCACTCCTCTGTACTGCACACAGTGTAGACACAGCCTCACACACACCAAGCTAGGCCAAAGGTCTGCAGCAACAGTCCCAGCTCAACCCCGGTCATCCAGCACTGGGGCCACCACCTAGACACATACCAGCACCACATGCATACATGGATCACCCCACACTGGAGAATCCCAACCACACATCACCCCCATGTGCCCCTCCCAGAGCCGCACAGCAAGCTCCCCACTCCACAGACTGGAGTCCACAGCATCTGGGAGATCACGCCACACCCAAGTCCTCCACACGCACAGCACTCACCATCCCATGCAAAACCCAGGTTCCCGACACTGTCACACACAGCCCTACATCACACAAAGTGACACACACACCAAGTCACCTATCACTGACCCAGTTCCACACACTGCCCCCATCCTACAGCCAGGACAATGACAGCCACACAACACCCACACCTTAATCCTATAACCAACCACCTCCACTCCCGGCCCTACACACAGCCACCCGCACATCGGCCACAGCAGAAAGGAGACCGAAGTCACACGATCTCTTGGTCACACACACAAAGTTCTTTAAACAGCCAGACTGACAACAAGGAGTCACCCACACTTTTCATATCACAGAAAAGTGATACCACCAGAGTCCCCGCACCCCATCCCAGGGTCGCACCCGCAGCCTGACACCTCTGTCATGCATACCCGCGCGCGCAGCGCGTGCAGGCAAGAGGTCCCCATCACCGGGCACCCCCAAACCAGCCACCCCGCTGGCCGGGAGGGAGCCCCACACCCCACAGCCAGCTACGGCCGTCACCAGGGCCCCCTCCCCCAGGCCCCGCCCCGCCTCGCTTCCGTTTACCTGCGCACGCCCGGGGCTCCCCAAGGTGGGGGGGCCGCGCAGGGGACATCCGGGTCCCCAAGGCCCGTCCCTGTCGCCAGGCGAGGAGACCCCAGGTGCGCTAGATCCAGTCCTCGCCTGCGCCCCCCGCCCCTCCCGCCCCATCACCACGGCTCCAGGGGACCCCTGAACCCTCACCTCCCAGAAATCCCTCACCCGACGCCCACCTGGCGGGGGACCGTCCCGCCCCGCTCGGCCCCGCCGCGCACTCTGCGTTCCGCGGCTCCCGGCTGCTCCGCGCAGCGCCGCGTCTCCGCCAGGGCGGCTCCTCCGAGGGGCGGGGCCAAGGAAGCCCCGCCCACCGCAGGTGCGCCGACCACGCCCACCGCCCTCGGGACGTGCGGCCCGCCCCACCCACCGAGCCCCGGCCTCCCTCCCGCGCACGTCGAGGCTGAGCTGGAGGCCAGAGGAGCGAGGCTGGGCTCGTGCAAACTTGGGTCTCAAAACCCACGACCTGCGATCAGAGCCGCGGCCACCGGGACTTGACCTTGCCCATGCTCCTCCTACTTAGTTTTCGTTCCACAAACCTCGTCCTTTGTCGGTGCTTTGCAAAGGCTGTCTCCTCCGGGAGGCCTTCCCTGATGGCCCCTTTTAAATGGCATCATCTCACCAAAACATTACTTCAATTTTCTTTTTCTTTTCTTTTTTTTTTTTTTTTTTTGTAGTATTGGGGCTTGAACTCAGGGCCTACACCTTGAGCCACTCCACCAGCCCTTTTATGTGATTTTTTTTTTTCAAGACAGCGTCTTGAGGACTATTTGCCCAGGCTGGCTTTGAACCATGATCTTCCTGATCTCAGCCTGAGTCTCTAGGATTACAGGCATGAGCCACCAGCGCCTGGCTTATTTCATTTCTGTTTTGATTTAAATTCACTTTTTTTTTTTTTTTGGATAGGACTGGGGTTTGAACTCAGGGCCTCACACTTGTAACACAGGCACTCTACCACTCGAGCCACACCTCCAGTCCATTTTGCTCTAGTTATTTTGGAGATGGCATCTCTGAACTACTGGCCCAGGCTAGCCTCAAACCTTGAGTCTCCTGGTCTCAGCCTCCCAAGTAGCTAGGATTACAGCGTGAGTCACCAGCACCTGACTCTGCCTGGGTCTCTTGAATGTAGGGATTACAAGCATACACCACCATGCGCAGCCTAAATTTTTTTTGGTGGCACTGGGGTTTGAACTCAGTACCTTACACTTGCTAGGCAGACACTACCGCGTGAGCCAATCCACAAGCCTTGTTTTGTGTTGGGGGTTTTTTGTTTGTTTTTTTTAGATAGGGTCTTGCAAACTATTTGCCTGGGCTGGCTTCAAA